GGCGGGTCTTCGAGAATTTTTAGCTTCTGGAACCAAAACGTGGGCTTTCCTCGGATGTCTTCGGCATCTACATCACCCGACAGAGACACGACAAGAACACCTGATGCTTATGCGCGTTCTTCCCTGTATTCTTCTGTTTCCACGTCGCCGGACGGAGTTTTCAGAAAGTTTCTCGAAGGATCGCCGCCGAAATGGAACTACTTCAATCGAAATGTGCAGTCTGTGTTGCTGTCTTCGAATTCTGCATCACCCAGAAGAGATTTTGTCATCAACTCGGACGAATCTTTTAGGAATTCGAATCCTTCTGTAGAGAATCCAGAGTTTTGTAGAAGTGTACAAAGTGAATTAGCTCCTCCTCCTCCTCGACGGCCACCGCCTCCTCCTCCGCCACAGCCGCCGTGTAGAGTGCCTGAGCCACCGCCTCTTGTCCCGCCATCGCAGCCCTTTGTGGTCCAAAAGCCTGGGAAAAGGATATCTTTCTCTGAACTACCACCGATTTCTTCTGAAACAACAGCGAAACCAAAGCCGAAGCTGAAACCTTTGCATTGGGACAAAGTTCGAGCAAATCCTTGTCAGAGAACTGCGTGGGATCATCTTGGTTCGAGCTCGTTCAAGTAAGAGACATAGAGAGTGCTACTGTTTCTTGTCTGCATCTCTTCCAATGAGATTCAAGAAGTATGTTTTTTGTGTGGCAGGTTGAACGAGGAGATGATAGAATCCTTGTTTCTTGCGAACCCTTCGGGTTCAAACGCAAAACCGAGAATCCTACGCGCTGATGATCCGATGCTAAATCGAGAAAACAGAGTTTTAGATCCGAAAAAGGCTCAGAACATCGCTATTCTTCTTAGAGCGCTTAATCTCACTACTAAGGATGTCTGTCAGGCCCTTACAGATGGTAAATTACAGTTCCCAGTTGAAGATTCTTGTCAGTTTTTCATTTTCTCAGAAACGTGCCTTTCTTTCCGATCAGGTGATTCTGATGCACTCGGGATTGAACTTCTTGAGAGTTTATCAAGAATGGCTCCGGATCAAGAAGAGGAGCGGAAGTTAAAGGAGTACAAAGATGGTTCATTGATCAGACTTGGCCCAGCCGAAAAATTTCTCAAGGAAGTGCTCGATGTGCCTCTCGGGTTCAGACGGGTTAAGGCATTGCTCTACGTGGCAAATTTTGTCTCCGAGATCGAATACCTGAAAAGGTCATTCGAAGTTATACGGGTAAAAACTGACGCCAAGGCAACATGGGATGTATAAGTTTGTATGCATTGGTAAATTGTACATCTCACGAAGCTATCGGATTTTGCAGGCTGCTTGTGAGGAACTACAGAACAGCAGAATATTCTCGAAAATTCTCGAAGCTGTCCTAAAGACGGGAAACAAGATGAATGATGGAACAAGCCGAGGTGATGCTCGTGCCTTCAAACTCGACACACTACTCAAGCTCATCGATGTCAAGGGTAGAGATGGAAGAACCACACTGTTGCATTTCGTCCTGCAGGAGATCATAAAATCGGAGGGCACCCGCCTTGCAGAAACAGGCAAAGATTTAGATCCTTCCATAAATGACGAAAAGGATGAAGCTCGACGCTGGAAACTTGGATTGCAAGTAGTCTGGAATCTAAGTTCAGAGCTGACCCATGTCAAGAAATCTGCAGCCATTGACCACTCTTCCCTGAAAACCGACATCTCAAAGCTTTCTCAAGGAATGAACGATCTAAGCGAGGTTCTGCGGGTAAGTGAGGGTGGTAATGGATCGAATGAAGGGCAGTGGCAGAAATTCAGGGAGTCAATGCGTCGGTTCTTGGAAACCGCAGTAGAGGAGATTAGGAAGATCGAGACAGAAGAAAGTTCTGCGCTTTCTGCAGTGAAGGAGATAACAGAGTACTTCCATGGAGATTCGGCGAAGGAAGAAGCTCAACCGTTTAGAATCTTCATTGTCGTGAGAGACTTTCTTGCCATACTAGGTCGAGTGTGCAAGGAGATGGGGGAAACAAGAGATCAGACAATCCTCGGCTTCTCACATTGATTTCACTTGCAGTGAAGGCCCAAGTCTGTTGTTTTAGTAAGAGATTGATTTGATCAGAGATTATGTATCGTTTTGTCTGTTGGTGAATCGATCGAACTACGTGGTCGAGAAGATGCCCAAGTCTGTTGTTTTAGTAAGAGATTGATTTGATCATGACGATGTATTCAGGAAAAACCTGTCTGGTCCGAAAGATTTCTGGTGTCAGAATCATATATATACATCCATGTATATGCGTGCGTATTTATTAACTCTCTCTCCTGGAGCTCTGTTGCAGGGTAAGCTTTCGGACCAAAGGGAGGCTTAGGTCTTTATAGAAACGTCGTCGTCCGAATTCTCGATTCCGGATTCGAGAGTTTGAGGGCATTTTGGTCTTTATGTCGTTATGATATGAGGGCGGGCCTGGTTCTTTTCAAATTTCACGTCTTCTTCCTCATATTTCAACTTTCTTGCATTCGATTCCTTGCGAATCGACGAACAAAGGGAATAAAGATCCTTTCCTTCCGAGAAATAGGACGAACTCGGTTCGATCCGAACTCGTCATTCGGTTCTTGCCGTTCCGACCTTTGATCGACGGCGTTTCTTGATCACTGAACACTGCCCGTTCATTTCTGAACTTCATTCCGAAACTTGACTGACGAAAACCTTCTTGTTTATCAGCAGCGGTCCGATCGAGGGACACAGTTTACGCCGATATTTTTCGTTTCGTTGAATTTTCCTCCACAGAAATGCAAGTTTTTCCCCCTCCTTCTCGAATCAACAAGATTCTGGGAAAGTATCGGTTTCATCTCGGAGACACTGATTGAGCTTGTTCCCTTTCCACTGCATTCACATTCGCTTGGTATTCAATGTTTGTTCCGCTGAATGGCAGGGACCAAGAGCCAAGAGCAGAGGAGCTGACCAGTTCCCACCATTCAGCAATTTCTAATTGCAGATTCCTGAATTTGACCATTCAAAGTTCATGTGCTGATGAAGAGAATCTTCAATATATTATCTGGGGGAAGCGTTGACAGAGAAGCAAAGACTGCATCAAAGTCAACCTTTCCTTGAAACAAAAAACAAATCTTTCTTACATTCTCGACCTATATTCAACGAAGTGCAGACAATGGTAGATGTTACAGTATAAATCAATGGCGGACTTCTCCACATGTCGATCGAGAACCCGTCATGGAGAAGAACAAGTGTAGGATTCTTCTCACTTGTCTTCTCTTCATCTTCATCTCGCTGGCTTCTGGGTCCGAAGCTCGTGAAAAGGACGGCGTAGATGGCGGCGGTTCGGGCAAGGAAGACGTTCGAGTCGGTCTGGTTCTTGACATGGCTTCCACGGAGGGGAAGATTGTCAAAAGCTCTGTTTCCATGGCGCTTTTAGACTTTTACAGCATTAACAGTGGCTACAGAACAAGAGTCTCTGTTTCAGTGAGAGACTCTCATGGCGAGCCTCTCCAAGCTCTGGCTTCTGGTATGTCTTTCTTTGCTGGTTTTCTTATTACAGACAACATAATGCTCGGACAAGATTGCGTGGTTCAACCAAGATTTTATTATTTGATTACAAATTGAAAAAATCAGAGGTAATATTCACATAAGTCTACACCAAAATCACTTGAAAGTGGCTAAAGTGACGGATGAGAAGGTCCAAGGAATTGTCACAAAAGCTTTGGAGGGTCTTATTGTAATTTTAAAATGTTTGGGGGTAGAAATGTTGGTTTCAGAAACATATGGGGTTGATAAGATATTTTTCTTACGAACGGAACGAGAAACCAACTACGCGGCAAAAACAAATCTGAAGAAACAGATCAGTAGAGACTGTATAGAGTAGAAAACGAATCGCAGATAGAAATTGGCCTCCAGATCAAAACCCTATCCGGAAATCAAACCAAAAAAAAAAAAACCCTAACCTGAAAATGAAACATAGGTCTCTGTAGAAGTGCTTGCAATTTTGAATTTCTTTTTCGAGATCCTGATTTCTGTAGAAGTACTTGATTTGATTGAGTCTCTCTTTATAGTTTCTCAATTATTTTGTTGGATGAGATTGATCGCTCGGAAACTGGAGTTGGTTGCTCAGAATTCGGAGGAGTTCGGTGAAATTTGAATACGATTTCTTGTTTGGATGCGCTTGTAGCTAATTTTTTGTTGGCGATTTATTGTTTTTGAGAAAAAAAATGATTTCCATTTAATGGTTTAGGGTTCTTTCCCCTTTCTAATTGACATTTGCGCGTAAAAACAAATCAAAATCGTGGTGCTTTACAATGACATTCTTGTTTATCTGTGAATGAAACAGCCGCAGATCTCCTGGAAAATGCAGAAGTGGAAGCAATCATTGGTGGGCAATCGTTGCTCGAAGCAAAGCTTTTGGCAGAGATTGGGGAGGAAGCAAAAGTTCCGGTGATTTCTCTTCACGTGTCTAGCTCGTTATTCTTGAAGAAATATAGTCACTTCATTCAAGCCACGCATGATCCTACATCCGAGGCGAAGGGCATTTCCGCTTTCATCCGTCGTTTCGGCTGGAAAAGTGTTGTTCTTGTCTATGAGGATGATAATGATGACTGGAGAGATAGCATGCAACTCTTGATGGATCAATTTCGAGAGAATGACATCCACATTGTGCATAAGATTGGATTTGCAGTCTCATCTAGGGAGAGTTATTTCTCAGAAGAGCTGCGACAACTTAAGGACTTGGGAACGAGGGTTTTTGTCGTGCATGTGTCTGAAAATCTCGCCTCTCGTCTCTTCCCATGTGCAGAGAGGTTAGGAATGATGGGAAAAGGTTATGCCTGGATCCTCACCGCGAAAACCATGAATCGTTTCCAGTACAAGGATCCTTTTGTGAAGGAGATGATGGGTGGGGTGGTAGGTTTCAGGTCTTATATTCCATTATCAGAAGATCTTTACAACTTCACCGTGAGATGGAGAAGATCGTTGCCCGTTGAAGATGTCGGAGCAGAAATAAAAGGGTTGAGCATCTCTGGCATATGGGCGCACGATATTGCTTGGAGCCTAGCGAGTGCAGCAGAGATATCAAGGCTGACAACACGTAATCGTTGTTCTAATGTTATCAATGTTGCCGAAACTAGAGCATCTTCAAACGTATCAGCTTTACTCGAGGAAATCATTCAGAGTAACTTCAAGGGTTTGAGTGGTGACATTCGATTCATCAATAAAAAGCTTTCCTCGGAAAGATACGAAATTGTAAATATCGTAGGAACGGGTGAGAGAAGAGTGGGACTCTGGACTTCCGGAAGTTTCAGCAATAGAAGAAGACATTTATCTTCTAACAATGAGCTGGAGACCATCATCTGGCCTGGAGGATCTTCTACAGTTCCGAAAGGCCGTTGTCTAGAAGATGTAAGCAAAAAAAAGCTCAGGGTTCTCGTTACCTCGAGCAATAAGTTCCCTAGACTGGTAGAGGTACATACTGATCCAATAACAGGTGTCATTACGGCCAATGGATACTGTATAGAAGTTTTCGAGACTGCCATTGCCCCTTTCAACTATGAGGTGGAGTACATACTTTGGCGTAATGGAAGTAATTACAACAATCTTGCTTATGCAGTCTATAGCCAGGTAGAGATACTTACTGACTAACAAATAACTTATCGTGAATAGCAGAGTTAGGCATTCCGTGGCATGTATTCCTGTTCAATCATTCCAAGACTGGTAAATCAAAATAATCTTTGTGAAGATTGATCAACTTCTGAAAGATAACTTCATTGGTGACTTTTTAATCTGAAACTTTTGTTGCACCTTTATTTTTTTTGCAGAAAGACAAGTATGATGCTGCTGTTGGGGACATCACGATTACCGATAACAGATCTATGTATGTTGATTTTACGTTGACGTTCACAGATATGGGTCTTGGAATGGTGGCAGTGAAGGACAAAAGCATGTGGATTTTCTTTAGGCCTCTTACCCCATGCCTTTGGCTGACTACTGCAGTTTTCTTCGTCTTGACGGGGATTATAGTCTGGCTGATAGAACAGCCTGATAATGCCGAGTTCCAGGGCTCGTGGTTCCAGCAGATTGGAACAATGCTCTGGTTCGGATTCTCTACCCTTGTGTATGCTTACAGTAAGTCCTTCGTTTACATTCCGCCTCAGATAATATTCTTTAATTTAGACATTGAAATTGTGAATATTGATTAACATAGGGAAGTTATAGTTTCTCATGAATCCGAAAGATTCATTGTGATTAGAACAGATTTCAACAGAGTTATTGCTGCTTGTCTTGGCATGTAGCTGAGAAATATTAGGGATGAGATAAAAGATAATGCGCCTTATTGCTTGCCTGTCATAAGAAGCCCAACCCTTCTCTGACTGATATGCTTTGACAGGGGAGAGGCTGCAAAAGCACTTGTCGAGATTTGTGGTTCTAGTTTGGGTCTTTGCAGTGCTTATTTTGACTTCAAACTATGCTGCAACATTGACATCAATAATGATGGTCCAACAGATACGATTAAGGTCAAGCCAGAACTACGTTGGGTTCTTCTCCGGTTCACCAATCGTAAACGTGGTTCTGAACAGTTCTTCCTTCCAGAGTCCAAGATACAGACAGTTCAGTGCATTCGATGACTACGCGAGTGCTATACGGAATGGAAATGTCTCATTTATCGTCGACGAAATTCCATACCTTCAGGTCGCCCTTGGAGAATATCCCAAAGACTTATACATGGTTCAAACAGAAATCATCACCAATGGCTTCGGTTTTGTAAGTATAGCTATATCCTCACCCCTTGCTGGCAAATTTTCGGTTCTCTTATTTACTAAGGTTATTATATATTGACTTCAGATGTTCCAGAAAGGTTCTCCTTTAGTTTGGAACGTGTCACGGGAAATCGCGAAACTAAGAAGAACAGGAAACTTGGAAGCCATGAAGAACAGGTGGTTCCAGAGACAACCTGCCTACACAGCAATGGACACATCCGACCCTCTTACCCTTTACAAGTTCCGTGGTTTGTTTATGATCACTGGAATTTCTTTTGGTTTCGCCCTCACCATTCTTCTCTCTCCCTGGCTCCAAGAGAAACGAAAATTCTTGATAAAAGTTCTCTACATATATGTCGATCAGCAACTCGGCTCCTTCAGAAGGTTCTTTGCAAGAGCTGTTCATCCTGGGCCTCCCACAACCGCAGAAATACCCAACAGGGAACCCGATACCGCAATCTAGATGGTACCCTTTACTGTCTTTTCTCTGCATATATCTATCGGGATCACGCAAGAACCGGCCATTGCAAGTACCTTTTCTGTCGGACCGGAAGAACCCTTCATTGTTACGATAGTGTTAGGTTTAGCTGTATTGTGTACAATGAATAACTGTGAGAGAGAGCTGTTATCATTAATGCAACAATCACAAATTTATGTTAAGTTTTTCTTTTCCGGAATAATACAGTGAAGTTGATAGAAAGTACCTTCTTCACATAAATTGTGTGAACCTTTGATCTCTATTTACTCTGTGGGAAGATATCAGGAAATTACTTGCATCTATAAGATTGAATGTATTCCATGGTTTCTATCACTAAGCCCTTCTAAAACAAAGACTTTGTGCTTGTTATCAATGACTTCAGAATTGTCTGCTTTCAGTTTCATATCTTTGACTATTCAAAAGAAATTGAATTCTTTATATGATCCGGAGAAGTAGGACTGCTTAAAAGTCAATAGATCTGGAAAAATAGCATGTTCTTCTGTGCGTTGACAACTGCTTGAAACTCCATGGAAGTTTCTCGACTTGTTTTGTCCTAAAGCTTGATTTATGTTCTCTGTAGACAATGGTAGGCGATGGGGTGGGGGAACAAGAGATCAGGCTATCCTTAGTGTAAAGTGAGACTTTGGTTTGGTGTAAACTGAAGTCTTGGTCAACGAGCTCCTTAGTGTAAACCGAAGACTTTGATTTTTCAAAGTCAAAGTCTTCAGTTTGGCCCGAAAGTTTCGATCTTTTACTCTTGTTTTGCAGCTAAATCTGCTTCCTTTGACTGAGTTGAGCATCATCCCCAAAGTGGTGAATTTCAACTCACCCATCTCAGATCTTTATCTGTTTCAGCTGATCTTGCACTCTTGATCATCTATTTATCAAAGATTTCGGTTTCTTTTTCGTCTGAAAATCTCTGCCACGTAGCTGCAATGGCCAAACACCGACCTTTTACGACATTGATCATGAGCACTGTTATGTGGGTGTTACTGGTTGCCGGTCTGAGCAGTTCAAGCGAGACAGACATAAGTTGCTTGATGAGCATAAAATCCCAACTTCATGATCCAAATGGGCATTTGTCCGATTGGGTATTCAACAACGAGACTGAGAATTTTATCTGCGCATTCAATGGTGTAACCTGTTGGACGCCCGATAACGACGACATCTTGGAGATCGCGCTTTCCGGTCTTGGCCTCGAGGGCGAGTTTCCTCGTGGGATGAACCAATGCTCCAACCTGCAACTTCTCGATCTTTCTCGAAACAACCTTTCCGGCACTCTTCCGCCCGACATTTCCATCAACCCATTTCTTGCTTCTCTTGACCTCTCTTTCAATCTCTTCTCTGGTGAAATCCCAACAAATCTCTCCGGTTTAACGTTCTTGGACACTCTCATGCTGAATGATAACCGGTTCACCGGTCAGATCCCTCCCCAGTTGGCTTGGCTTCAACGGCTCACACGATTCTCGGTCGCCAACAATCACCTGACGGGTCCTGTCCCGAATTTCAGCGAACCCAACGTTTCGGCTTATGCGAACAACGCCGGTTTGTGCGGATTTCCTTTGGATCCTTGTTCGGATTCATCGTCCAAGGTGGATATAATCGGGGCCGTGGTCGGAGCTGTGATCTTTGCACCCATAGGCGCTGGCTATGGCTGGATTTGTTTTCGCAGGGAAGAGAGACCAATGCAGAGGAGACGCTAGGGCAAAAACCATATGAGACATGTTTCCTCAGCTATGTTTTCATGTAATTTTATAATGTAATATATGCCGGAAATTAAAATTCCTAATATAGATCTATTAAAATTCAAATATATGATCTGTATACATTTTGGTGTTTGGTACAGAAATTTCTGATTGATTTTATTTTTTAAAATGAAAAATTACACACTATAATAACACGATACAGTTGGATAATTTAAATATAAATATTCCGAAGAAAACGATGACGACGACTCCAGAAACGAATCGGACACAACATGTTTAACCTCAAGCCGGATGAACGATGTTCTGATACGTGGGATCGATCAAATCTATCTTCTACGAGATGATAAGTGAGTCGATGATCTTCTTGCCCGAAAAGCCGGGAAAAAAATTCCTCCAGAAAGGACAAGGGCATCGAAGAGGGAAGGTTCTGCAATGCAAAAACATTAGAACATGTCACAAAGAAAAGTGCTTTCAATCCTTTGAGATGATGTACGGCCATGTCCCTCAGCAGCAGCGGCCGTGAACGGCAAATGCTGAACTATCGACGTGTAATGGATTCCCTAACACCATGTCGGAAACCATTTCCGCTGTTCCGAGAGCCTAAACATTCAAAAGAATCTTTAATGTTTTCACAGTTCGGGTCTTTTTGTTTTTCAGAAGTTACTATGTTGTCTGCTTCACAGTAAAAGATGAATCTTGCTTACCATGGAAAGTCCCCCTCCTTCATGCCCAGCTGCCAAGTACAGATTTGGTAATCCAGGCACAGCTCCTATCACTGGCTTCCCATCCGGCACTGCGATTTGGTTGACAGGTTAGGTTAGATCGTGTTCAACTGTTAATTCCGGATATTTTCAGGATCCGAAGCATAATATCCGATATAAGAAGGAGAGCTTACTGTAAGGGCGCAACCCGACTCTCACTTTCCTGTTACGGATGAAGTCTTCCAGAGGCATTTCTCTCAACTTGGGGAAGAACTCTCCTGCACGATCCCATATGCATCGGATTATAGAATCATCAGCATCGGTATTGAACCCCGCAAACTCCCGGCTGCTCCCTGAAAGTAACGAATGCCCAAATGAAGGGATAAGAAAATCATGGTTATACTACTGGTTCTTTCATGATTCCGGCCCCACCATGAGTTTAAAAAAAAAGCAATGAGAAAAAACTCGGGAAAGCTGTACAAGGAAACACGGGATTGCATATGTTGTGGGGGCAGAACCTATCGGAGTTTACCAAGAACAAGGTTTTCCATGTTGTCCATTGTGGCAGTCATAGAAATAGATAACATTCGCTCTACGTCATCGTCATCAGACCCTAGAAGTGAAGAAGGGTGACTCGGAGTTCTACTTTGATGGTCCACATAACCAGCCTCCATCAGCCCATGGTTCAAATGGAACGAATCAAAATTCTCAACCACTAGCAGATGACCCTGAAAGAAAAAGGAAGACATAATCGGTGGTTCGATCATTTCTTACCAAATCAGTCTCCAGAATTTTCACATCGGGAGATGCTATAAGAAACCAAAGCATCAAATAAAGAGACGCTTGTCCTTTTTCAACAATTATATTACCTATAATTTGTTTTTACAAAAAATCTCTATGGCTCTACATAACAATGATATGCATTTATAGAGAGTTGGAAAATCCGTATTGATTATGGATTTGGAAAGGTGGAAAGATATAATTTCCCCCCAAAAAAGGTGTTAGGATAAAACAATCAGATATGATAATCCAACCTTCCGAGGCTTCACGGGAACATCCACCGAGATATTGGAGTCTTTCAGCAATTCATGCATCAGAGATCCACTCCAGCAACCGGCAGCAACTATAATAGCCTTCTTACCATACAAGGAGGATTTTGATGTTTGAACACCATAGACCTGTTTATTCCCATCAAGCCTGAATAGAGAAGACGATAACACTTAGATATGAAATATTTATACCATACAATACCCGAAGACGAGCACATTTGACTTGCCACGTTTAGAAAATTTTCGATTGAGCTAAACAGCTTAGTACAACCTTATTAAACCTGTAACTGGTTCATGGTAGAACTCTGCGTATCTGCCTTCTGATGCTAGCTTTCTATTACCCTGAGAAACATGAGGAATAAATAACCATCAAAGAATCAAAAGAATAGTTAAAGACGCAGGACAATCTGCAACCTTCTCGATAAACACAACGGCTCGATGAGCATCTATCTGGGAATCATCGGGAAGAAACGCAGCTCCAGTATCACTATCCACAAGAAGGGCAGGTTCCTTAAGAAGTAAATCAGAGCTAGACAAATACTCGGATCTCAACCCAGCTTCAGATAGCTCGCGAACCTTCTTTTTCAAAGCAACACACTCTTCAGGGGTTCTTCCAACGAGCAAGCTTCCTGCGGATCAGAACAGCAAGCTAAGCCACATTTTTACAAGCAACACTCTGAACAAGAACCTAGCTTCAGGGGAAAGGATTGAATTCGGCTAAACTGGGGAAAGATTTGGATGAGGTCAAAGCCTAACATAACAATCAACTCATGGTCATTAGCAGGACAGGCTCACATGAAGCTCATACGCGAAGCATTTCAACGAGCTCTAGAACAGCCTATAGATGATGCATCGCGTAAAGTATAAACAAGGACAATAGCCTGAACACCTGTGTTTTTCCATCCGAGAGTCTCTTCAGGATCAAGCCCTTCATCACTTAGGCTCCTGACCAGCTTCTGCCAGAGTGCATGACTCCTCATCGCCAAATCCCATATACTGGTGCCCGGTTTCTTGTGGGTCATCCATATATATCCCTGTCCTGGACCCAAAACCAGAACACTCAATTTAATAAAAAAGGACAAATGCGCATCCTTATAAAGCCTAGCCATTTCAATTTCTCCGAAATAGCACGTAAAATGAAATCAATTGCCCAAATTCGATCAGCAGAATCCTTTGTTCAATGACTTCAAATCGATTAAGAACTAGGTAGGGAGTAGCTAAGCAGAGTATATATACACTACTGAAGCCACTTGTTCAGTTATTGATTCACTGTCTTCTCAGCAACCGGACAACATCGGAGCCAAATCAGAAAGCAAAGGGAGTAAGAAGACAGTGAAGTTTACCGGCACCGGTGGCGCCGGAGCAGGGGACGGCTTTATCGACAACAGCCACGGAAAGATCCGACCCGAGAAGGAACTGTCGGGCAATGGTCAACCCGATGATCCCGCCGCCGACAACCACAACGTCGAAGGAACGGTGAGAGGCAGCGACAAGAAGTAACTCGGAAGCGACACGTCGTATCCTCGGTGTCGGAACCAGCGATTTCGGCGCAAATTTGGCGCTGAAAAAGCTCGACCGGAGAGATAGAGAATGGGGAAGCTCGTTCTGGGGAGAAAAAAGTGTGGGAGACGAGATAGAGAAGGAAGCCATGGGCGAGAGGTTGTGGTCAACGGTGGTAAGTGGATTTGAATCACGATGGTTTAACGTTTTTTTTTTTTCTAAAGAAAGGCAAGGAGAGGGGCGGTGGTGAAGCGGCTGAGCCACCGCAGGGGCATAATTGGGTAAAAAAAATATTGAAAAAATGAAATGTCAAGAATGGGATTCGAACCCATGCCCTTTCGGACCAGTACCTGAAACTGGCGCCTTAGACCAACTCGGCCATCTTGACTTTTATGTATACAAATCGTTTAATTATAAATATAAATATAAATATAAATAAACATAAACATAAACTGAGCTAGACATTTAAAGGAAGATAGATGATTACCAAGGCAATACGATATTGAACAATGTTAATTTCATCCGAAAACTGTTCATAACCTTACAACAAAGAAAACAGCATCCAGAAGATAAAGGGTAGCTAAAATCATCGATAATGATTCTGACCTCAGATCAGAAATGACTCCATACTCTGAACGGAAGCTAACTCTCCGACGGCTTAATTTACGAAAACAGTGTCACTGCGCCTCGGGGGTCTATCGGGGACGGTTCCCGGTTTGAATTTGGAGGCTTCATGCCTTGCGAGTTCAGGGGGGACAGGGCTATTGCTCTGGACGAGCATCTGCTTGAGATCATAGAAAACATCGGTATCCTGAAGAGTCAGGAATGTTGTCGCAACACCGCTCTTGCCAGCACGTCCTGTCCGTCCGATACGGTGAGTGTACATCTCTATATTGTTAGGCATATCATAGTTGATGACATGGGCCACATCAGGTATATCAATTCCACGACCGACCACATCTGTCGCAGCAAGAACATTGTATCTCTTTGTCCTGAAACCCTCCAAACTTATTTCTCTCTGCTCCTGAGACTTCCCACCGTGCAGGGTCGTGACCCGATACCCTGCCTTGTCCAGATTCTTGGAAATAGTATCGGCATTTTTCTTAGTGTTAACAAACACAATGGCCGTCTTGTCGCCAAGCTCATCAAGCAATCTCTGCAACCTGAAAAACTTCTCGGATTCCTTCATCATAATCACATGTTGGGAAATCAAGTCAGTAGCCTTTCCAGCAGTGCCAATGGTGACCACAACCGGGTTCCTCAAGTACTTCCTAGCAAGCCGCTCAACCGCAGGAGGCATAGTGGCACTGAACATATATGTAGTTCGGTAAATCTTCTTTTCGTCGAGCTCCTCATCTTCGTTCTCGGGTTTCAAATTACTGGAAGGCATTGCATCCAATACACCCACGACCTGAGGCTCGAAACCCATATCTATCATTCTGTCAGCTTCATCAAGAACCACATAGTTGCACTGGTTCAACACGGCATAACGCCTCTCAAGGCAATCAATCAGACGACCAGGAGTGGCAATCACAATCTCACATCCTTGTGTTATCTTCAGCCCTTGTTCCTCAATGGACTGACCACCGACGATAGAGGTTACTCTAAAACCTAAGTAATGAGCAAACTTCACAGTCTCGTCCTCAATCTGCTGCGCAAGCTCGCGTGTTGGGGCCATAACCACAGCATAAGGCCCCTCGGCCTCATTCTCTTCCGTCATGGGTGGTAATCTCGAGATGTAAGCTAACATAGGAAGAACAAAAGCAGCGGTTTTACCAGAACCAGTCTCTGCAATGCCGATAACGTCACGCTGCTGCAGTCCAAGTGGTATGGCAGCCATCTGAATAGGAGATGGCTTCTTATACCCAGCTCTGTCCACGGCCTTCAACAGCTCAGAGGTCAACTTACTCTCTGCCCAGTTCCTCATGGGACGAGGAATCTTAGAACCCTTGTAGGAGATGTTGAAATCTTCCCTGAAAATCCGCCAATCCCTCTCAGTCATCTCCTCGAGCTTCTTCTCGCTCCAGTGCCTGTCAACCCTCATGTCGAACGAGTCATATGCATCGGCTGCTTGTTCACGCAGTCTCTGAGCTGCAGCCTCCTCGGGTTTCTCTTCAACGCCCTCTTTCCGACGAATCTCATCGCGCATGTCTCTCTCGTACTTAGCCGCCAATTTCTTCTGCTCACGCCTGTCCATGCCCGCGCGAAACCCTCTCCCGAACAGAAGCTGAGCTTCATGAGGGTTTTGGTAGAGAGTGTTCATATCCCTCGAAGTGTCCTCAGTGTTCTCCCAGTCGAAAGAGAAACGAAACTTCTCGCTTGGCTTGATGACTCTCTTCTTAGGCTTCTTAGATCCAAGGTACTGCTCTTTAATGGCGTCAAGCTCCTTCTCTCGCTCCCGCTCCGCCAGCTTCTCAACCCTCGCACGTTCCCGAGCCTTTGTCTCCTCCTCCCGCTCCCGGTCTCTGTTCCGCCGCTCAGACTCCCGGTCCCGCCTCTCCCTCTCCCTCTCCCGCTCACGCTCACGCTCACGCTCACGATCGCGGTCCCTATCTCTCTCCCTATCGCGGTCGCGGTCGCGGTCCCGGTCCCGGTCCCGGTCCCGTTCGCGATCACGTTCACGGTCTTCGCCGTTCTCAGTATCGTAGGCGGCAGAAGCGCCGCGGCGGAGCTGATCCTGGCGGCGGCGCTGCTCGGCGATCTGGTCCTGGCGGCGCTTGAGGGCGAGTTCCTCGCGCTGGGCCTTGGTGAGGAAAACAGGTTTGTTGAGATTGCCGGAATCGAGGGATTTGGCCGCCGCCGATCCAACTACTTCATCGATTGATCGTTTCATCGCTTCGGAATCCAAAATGGGTCGCTTGGTGAGTTGCAGGAGGGGAAATGTGCAAGAACAAAACCTAGATCTCTCCTCTCTGCTTTGTTAAAGTTTTCTATTTTTTAGTTTTTTCTTATCCTCATCGAAAAGAGCAAAAAACAGTGGGAAAAAAAAAAGAAAAAGGAAAAAAGAAATGTCAAGAATGGGATTCGAACCCATGCCCTTTCGGACCAGTACCTGAAACTGGCGCCTTAGACCAACTCGGCCATCTTGACATTTTAACGTTATAAACAAAATTTAGAATGTGTCCCGACTTCTGCTCATAACTTTTTCCATTCAAATAATGATATCATTATTCAAATGACAAAAATCGTTTTTTCAAAGAATACAATCCATGAATATAATATTATAAATTCTTAAAAATAAACACATTTGCATGAAAGATAGGAGATCATATTAATCTAAAGAAGATTCAGAAGCAGAATCATCGGTCGTTGAATTCGATGTAGTCTCCAAGTGACTTCCGGTGTCGCTGTCAGAAGATGCAGTTGGTTTGTCTTCAACAGGTTGTTTCAGATACCAATACATTATACTCGCCGTCAATGTTAGAATCATCTTCTGGTTTACCTACATACAATCACAGATTCCACACATCAAAAAATACTTCAATAATCAGTATTTGTAGAATCACTTTCTCGAAAGAAAAAAATCAAAAATTTAAATGATATTTCATTTTGGAAAGAAAAAAAGACAAATTCTAGTTCAGAATTTTCTTTCATCGTTCTATTGGTTTAAGCAATGAAAACAAGGAATAAAAAAATGAAGGAGAAATACCTCAATTATATCTTCAGGAAGCAAAAATATTGTGCACCCGAGTTTCCTAGCGATGCTGATGACGTAGGTCGCGTTCATCCTTTTCTCTTCATCTGCGTTGAGTCCCGTCGAACAATATAATCATACATACATACATATACGTATACATGTATATACACACGTGTAGAGGTGTATGTGTGTAGCGATGTGTGTATAACACTTACCAGATACTCCACCAGTGACTAGACTCCAGTTCACTGATCTCGGTTGCACTGCACTAAGCAGCTCGAGGAAAAATGTACCGGCGGACAAGCTCTTGTCCTGTGTGTATTCAAATTAACGGCATTTATACCTAACTAGTAACTAATACATTAAAATTTATTCGTACGGCCTGAACTACGAGCTTGGTACCTTAAAACTATTCATACGGCTTTGGCTCCCGTTGTTTAGCACTTTCGTGTTTGCCCACTCCAAGATATCGACGTCAGTGATTTCCTTCCCATAAGAATGGAATCTCAAGTTCCGAAGAAGTTGGAGGATGTTGCATCTCATCAGTTGCCACAAGTAAGCTGATGAATGACTCAAGTCAGCATTGCAAGAGATCGTACAATTTCGTGTTTATGTTGGAACACTGACACAGACCGAGACAGAGACAGAGACTTTACCAAGTATGAGCTTCTTGTTTCCCTGAACGATGTCGTTTCCAGCGATGTTAACCAAGGAGAACTTGAGCTGCTTCCCCAGTTTCACCACTTGGTTACAGTTTTCCACTTTCTTGAATGGCAGTTTGATTGGAGGCTTGTTTGCTACTTTCCAGTTAACAATTCCTGGGGACACCTTTTCCAGTGTCTGCAACAGTATCCACCTGCACCAACTCACCCTGCCTTAGAATCGAAAAACATATTTTCCTTTAACGCTCTGCTCGGCGCTAACGATCACTAACCCGTCTCTGAGATCTTCAAAAACATTGTTAATGTAGAGAGAACCATCAAAGCTATTGATCCAAAACCGGAATGCTTTTTCTTCTCTGGATATTTGGGTGTCGTCCGGTAGAGTTTCAAGGAAAGATATCTGTTTATTCTTGGTTGAGAGCCCATTTCTGCCACAAAAGAAAACATGGTAATTAGATTCTGCAACAAAAATTAGTATATCTTCCATTCGACATGAATCCCATGGATGTATTTAGTATGGATCTGTTTACCTGTGCTGGAAAATATGCGCAACGAAAGCAAGATTGAGATTCGGGGAACCGTCAACTATATCCTTGGCAGTCAGATATCTTCGGCAGCCCATTCTGTCTGCATGTTCGAGAACAAGCTTCGCTCTTTCAAAAGGGTTTTTGGCAACCAATGTTGATGGATTACCATGCTCTGGCGCCAATACATTTAAAAGATGAGCATAAGCTTCGGCATCCTGCAGCAAATATATCACATTGCACAAGCATGAGAACATAAGGAGTCCGCATCATCAACCAGAAATGAGTGGCAAACCAAACCAGTTGTTGATCTTTGCAGTACCTTTACATCAGACGAGAAGTTTGTGACCGTTTTCTTGTATCCAGATTTCTTTAGCTGAAAATTCATCCACCTCAATAGGATCTTTTCAGGTGGTAGACTCATCAGCTCTTCCACCTCCTGTTTATTTTAGTAGTTTGAAAAGAAGTTGAAAAGAAACAGCTGATCAACCTTGTTCCAAAGCAACATAAAACAAAATGCACCAGCTCTTCAGATAAAATGCTGTATTACCTTACTATCACCGACCAGTTCCACCAGCTGGGGAGTCTTCTTCAAGTTGAGATCCGCTAGCAATTGTATCTAGACAGCAGAACCACAAGGAAGATTGTCACAATGTCATGGAAAACAGAATCAATGATATCAAACCCGAAATCTCTTGTAAATTTATCCTTGCCTTGATGATTTGAGAAATCAACCCCAACACAAGATGACGCTGAAAATTGAAAGTAACGATCACGTTAATTATGACCCATCACCAAAATTTACAAAAATTGTGACGCAATGCCATTGCGTTAACTGTTTTTTTTTTCATGTCAATGGATTTACATCATACCCTTCCTTCGATGATATCTTGGGTTCCAATATTAACCAGAGTACATCCGATTGCCTTGGCAGAGTTGAGGCACAGCGTATGATTCTCGTTCCTCTCCCATGGATTAAGCATACTCTTGGTATTAATTGCCCGTTCATCGATCGTCCCTGGAACCGCCACGTTTATAAGCTTACTGCATTCCACCAATAAGCAACCCAGAATCTTATCATCAATAAGACAGATGAACCAAACGGGTCATCAGAACAGAACAAGCAGGTCGAAATCAAAGGATGATTACCAAAGCAGAACGCCATCTTTCGTTATCTCAAAGAGATCGTTCGAGGAGGGATTGATCGGTAAGTACTTCTTGAGAAATGCGTCTCCAGCGAGGTAGTTATTGATGTGAGCGACGTAGGAGGACTTTTCAGAATCGCTAATCGTATGCAACAAAGTGGTGGTCGCAGCCTTGAGGAACGCTGATGAGTTCTTCGCCCCGCTCCCGATAATGGCGCTGACATGCGCTTGAAGTTTCAGATAGACCTGCAAACACCAATTCAACCAAGAAAATCAAGATTCCATCTCAGGAATCTATAAAAATCTGTGTTAAGAAAAACAGGATTCGTGTCTCGTCGAATCAATCTACAACTGAACATGAGATATATATATCAGATCGGTTTATGAACACTCTGATAAGACACAGAGATCTATAGAAACGGAATCAGAGGTTTCATGAAACATACTGACCCTCAAGTAGAACTCGAAATCGACTTCTTCGTCCAAATTAGGATGGAAACTTTGGATCAGAGACGCTCTCTCTTCCTCGCTGAGGTTCTGATCTCCCACCACTTTCAATCTCGACATTCTCGACGCGAGGTCTGCCACAGTCAGCTTCCCGCTCTCCCTCCTCATGCTCGTAAACTTCCAAAAAAAAATAACAAAAACGCAATCGGATCAAAGGCTGAGGAAAAAAGAAAACGAGAGAGAACCAACGAAACCGGAAATGGAGATTTCATTCAATCATAGTGAAGGAAGCGTACATGAGATTTCAAGCTCCGAAGCTCCACTTGCGTGAACTGGTTCTGCAGCCATGGATCCGACACCAAAATCCCGACGTAGCCAGACATTTTGCCGACGAAACTCCGATCAGAAAGTCCCGATCGATGTCTGAAGACAAGAAAGATCTTCTTCCTCGTCGACTCTGAAACGCAGAAGCAGAGAACAGTACGTGGAACTTGGTGGCAATGGAGGATGTAAGAGCTGTCCAGGGAAGGGAAGGGAAGAGAGAATTCAAAAAAATTGACCAATCTGTCCTTAGCTTTTTCGGGAGCTTCTTTCATTTAAAATTTTCACGTCGCCTTTTGTCGTGTGGGTAGGAAAATGTGAGCCCATCACACTGGCCGTTGCGGGGACCACGGTGACGTTTGAATTTTATGAATTACCGGATTTACCCCTGACCCTTTGGGAGGTGTGACGATTGAGAAGGGTAAATATGGAATAACAGAGTAGTTGGACCGTCGCCTGAAAAAAACTTAAATGGAGGCAAATGTAACGGTCGTTTCGGGTCTTTAGTTATTAAAGTGGTGGATTAAATTAAAATGTTCAAACTCAGTTCACTAGAAGTGATATTTGAATTTTCCTTACTTTGACTTCGGAGTTAAAAAAATAATCTCCATATTTTATTAGTTCTGTGATAAGAGTCTCTGCATTAATGATTTATATGAAAAAGAAATGGTACAAAGTTTAAGTATATTCCATTTTATTTAAATATATATTAAAAATATGGGCATTTAAAATTTGTATTGATTTCAGTTTTATATTGGATTATGTATTATTTTTATTTCTAAAAAAATTATGGGCATTTAAAATTTATATTGATTTCAATTTTATTCGATTTTTATTTAGATACGGTTAAAATTCGTTTATATTAATAAAATATATATTTTTTTATTTTTTTCAGAGTGATTTAATCTAATAATCAAACTCTTTTTTCGACAAAGATTTGGATCTAATTCGTCGTCAAATTTGTTCTAACAATAGATAGAGGATAATCCAACCATTTTAAACCCAATTCTCTTTCTAATGCAGGCTTCACCAAACAATCAATAACTGTATTTTCTTCTCGATATATTTCTTGAATTTCACAAAACAATCGAGATATCTTTTGTTCTATCTTTTACGTTATTTTTACATTAAATCTATATATGACTAGAGTTCAATCAATTTGATATAAAAAAAAAGTTATATTCAATTGATTTTAAAATCATATTTATTTTTTATATAGTTATGCATCCTCTAAATTACATTGATTTGGTTTTCATTATCATTATTCGGGTTAAATTCGATTCAAATTATTTGTTTTTGTTCGATTATATAGCTGAAATCTACATGCATTTATTTCTCATTTTTTGTCGGGAGTCTATATTTTTAAACTATTTATCTCTTTTTAGAAAATTTATTATGCTTAATAGAAATATAATTTGTTTTAATTAATCATAAATTTTGATTTGTGGGGCAAGTGATGGATCCGAGGGCATGAAAAGATTAGGCAAAATAAGCACAAAGGTGGCCATGAGATAACCATCCATGTGACTTCCGGGACCAACCACCAGATTACTATACCTTTTTAGGCATGGCCCGATATCGAATTCCCCATATTTCATATCTTCTTTTTAAAAACAATATTACAAATAAGCAGTTTTAGAAATAGGGTTATTTTATTATAAAAAATGAAAATAAAATTTAAAACTCGGAGTATGCATGACTCTAATATAAAATATGATAACCAGTCTTATATATTTTTTTGTAATTTTTTAATATTCAGATTGGTTCATTAGATTTTCGGCCCAACTATATCTATTATGAATCGAAAAATAACTTTTTCTACAATTACATTGTATGTTTGAGATATGAGATAGATCATCCTTACTTTCTCAACTAGTTACATCACTCGATCTATTCCGTTTGAGTTATATATTTTTGTATTTAAACGTGCAATTTTTACTTTAGCTGTAAACAAATATTTTGGGTTTTGACTTGTATTCTTTTTAAATATGGTTTAGATAAATAAATATACTCATTTTCGGTTGAGAAAAATAGATGTTGAAGCAAAAAAAAAAAAATATGAATGTTGGAAACTTAAAGAAGAATAAGAAATTTCAGATTATGCAAGTTCTCTCAACAAAGCTTGCCAACGGTTGTCTTAATACGTGAGCTCATTTCAAATGTTCAAATATAATTTTTTCATGTACCACTATCAATAACTATTTACTTGTATCATTGTTTAAGTAACCAAAAAAATGTAATAATAAGAGAGTTTTTGGTTCTTATTTGTTCTTCATCATCTAATTCAGTTTCTATAGCAATAAGAGAGTGTACTATTTCTCTTTCCAATATATTTTTTTTAAAAATCATTTCAATTTTTGTTATTTTTTATTTTTTAAATACATAATTGGTTTTCAAACAACATTATATAAAAAATACATTGATATTGCTATTTTGACTTCAATGCATACCATTCTCCAACTGTGACCATGTGACCAGAAATTTAATCTTGGTCATATTGCTCATAACATTGAATTTATAAATTTTTTATCAAATAATTAATGAGATATATAAGATATGAACATAATGAATGAGTGTGTGATCATCATAAATTTAACGTTATGACCAAAATGATCAAGATTATATTTCTGGTCACATGGATCATAGAGTCACAGTTGGAGAATGATATATCTTGAAATGAAAATAGCAAAGTAAGGATATTTTTGATAATGTCTATTTTTAAACCGGATTTAATTCAAAATATAATTATATTTTTATTTTTTGTAGGGTTTTACTAGAAATAGACATTTGGGGAGAGGTCGAACACCAGTTGTCAAAAAAGCGAGAGACCAAAAAGAAGATAAAAAACGCATATGTGTGTGTGTATATATATGGAAGATGATAGTAAGATTGCCAGTAATTGATGCCAATATGAAGCGAATCCTTGCTGCGCTATTTCGCTCGCTCGTTCTCATTATCACACCATGCATCATAAATGAAACACATGACTATGCATGCTATACATGTACGCCGTCCATATCTTTTTTTTTAAAAATAGCTTATTGCAACTGTTATGCAATTTGCATCGGTTATTTTTAGGTTTTAAAAATTATATCGTTTGGATTTATTTCGAATTCAGTTTTTATTACAAAAATATTTATTTTGTGAAAAAATTTAGCAAGACCAGAATTTATTATGAAGAATGATTGATAAACACGTCTGCCTTCTTAGCTCAGCGGTAGAGCGCATGGCTTTTAACCATGTGGTCGTGGGTTCGATCCCCACAGACGGCGTTATTTTTTTCCCATTCATTAATTTTTTTTTGGTAATTTATCCGTTCTCAGTTCTCATCTCACCATCGTCGGCTTCCTTAGTCTCCCTCCGCTTAAACCCAAAACCTCACAATTCACAGTCCAATCGACAAATCAAAAGTATGCTACAGAGTATAAATCTCCAATTCTTTTCCTCCCCATCTCCACCAACAAAAGAATCTCTGGTTTCCCCTATAATTTTTTCCCTTCCTCTCCGCTCCTGTTCAATCCAAACAAACCGAGTCAAGAAGACAAAGCGTCTGGTTCGCTTTTGCGCCCCTTATGAAGTCGGTGGTGGATATTCTGAGGAAGAATTGTTCGAACGAGGCGGAATCCATCAGAGTAAATCTAATGTCGACGGCGATAAGCTCGACGAGGCCCAGTACCAGGCTCTCCTTAAAGGAGGTGAACAAGTCACCTCCGTTCTTGAAGAAATGATCACCCTCGTATGTCCTTTCACGCTTCAATCGGTTTTACTTCGTAATTTTTCATCTGGGTTTGTGTTTGTCTCGTTGCCTTTCGAACAAAATCTAGTTTGCATTAATTGGCATTTCATCGAACACCTGATAGGCAGTACGTTAGGTAATTTCCATGAACATTGGTTTCACCTTTCAGTTCTTGATATTATCATATAAGTGAGTCCACTTGTTTGTTGTTGTGTAATGATTATGTTTCAATGTTCCTTCCTCGTGTAGTTGGAAGATATGAACATGAATGAAGCGTCCGAGAATGTGGCAGTTGAATTGGCGGCACAAGGAGTTATAGGGAAAAGGGTTGATGAAATGGAGTCCGGATTTATGATGGCTCTTGATTACATGATCCAACTCGCGGAGAAAGACCAAGATGATAGGGTACTCTTTCGATTTCCCTGTTCTTCGACTTGTATCTGCATTTTCCCGGAAATTTCTCTGTGAATATACATCTCTGACTGTGAGTAGAAAAACCTGGACTGATTATGGATTTCCATGGGGAAAAAAAACAAGTGCACACTGAACATGTGGGATCCTTGTTATATTCCCTAGCTGAGTGAGTTTTACATTTGGTTCAGCTGGTTTGAAGTCCTTGGTTTCTTCACTGCAATTGCATGATCTTCTGCAGTTTTTATTTCAGGCTTAGCATGCATTATAATCAAATTAGTGTGAATTCGGCAGAATCGGCGCTGTCTTTGGGCTTAAATTTGTATATGTTCGATTGATTTCGAGGTTGTTACCTCTGTCATTTATGAGTTTCTTTGTGCAGACCTGCAAATGTTATTTCTTGTCTGATACTGTGGTTGTAATTTCAAAATGGGAACAAGAATCTAAGTTCTAAGTTCTTAACACTGGGTGGTACTGTGTGAGTTCAGCGGAAGTCGATACTAGAGGTTGTGAAGGAGACCGTGTTATCCCATCTTACGAGAAAATGCCCTCCTCATGTAAGTAAGAATTTAGCTAAGCATGTTCTTCATCGTCAAGATTGTTATGCAAATGCAACCTCTTTTTCATGGCTTTGATTTGCCTAAACTTTGCCGTTCTCAGGTACAAGTGATTGGTTTGCTCTGTAGAACCCCCGAGAAGGAAAGTAGACATGAGCTCTTGCGTCGGGTGGCTGCTGGTGGCGGTGCATTTGAAAGCGGCAATGGCACTAAACTTCACATACCCGGGGCAAATCTTAACGACATTGCCAACCAAGCTGATGACTTGCTAGAGGTTTGTATATACTAGCTAAGCTTGTTTATTTATGATGGGATAGTCATTTTTAGGGGTGACTTATTTGGTTAATAACCGAATAACCGAGCCAATTTGAACCGAATAACACAGACTGATACAAGAACCAAATGGATATGATTTCTCTAAAACAAAAAAAAAACGAACCCGAACTGAACTGGGTATAAAAAATTAATAGAAAAACTGAAAACTTCCTTGAAATGAGTTAGAACTGAAACCAAACCAAACCGAATTCAATATATAAACAGAATGTTTATAATTTTTCTATAAGCCAAATAACCTAACTGAAACTTGAATAAGCTGTCCCTAGTCATTTCAGAGAATGTAAGTAAACTTAAATGAAAGAACTTTTGCAGACGATGGAAACAAGGCCGGTTGTTCCAGATCGAAAGCTCCTTGCAAGGCTTGTTTTGATCAGAGAGGAAGCACGTAACATGATGGGAGGGGGTATACTCGACGAGAGAAACGACCGAGGTTTCTCTACTCTGCCCGAATCAGAGGTTCATGACCCTTTTCTTTTCTCCCATTCAGCTCTCTTGAAGAGGGTTAAAACATGAAACCTCCATGTTTACCGATGCAGGTGAATTTCTTGACCAAATTGGTGGCTCTTAAACCTGGAAAGACGGTACAGGAAATGATTAAAGACGTGATGCAAGGGAAGAACGAAGGTGCTGATGATGATCCTAGTAACGATGAGGAGGGTTCTTCTACTCGAGGAAGACGGCAAAGCGGAATAAACGGAAGAGTATGTTCCATCAGCTTGCACATAATTGTGTTGTAAAAACATTGGGGGCAGGATTATTTACTGATGATCGGCCTTTCTTGTATATGATCCAGGGAAGTGTTACTGGACGGAAACCACTTCCCGTTCGACCGGGAATGTTTCTGGAAACTGTCACAAAGGTAACATTTTAGATCGTTGTTATCACTCAATGGGCTTAAAGCCAATGTTCAAGATGGAATTTTTCCATCCGGGTTTGACGTTTTCACTTGAATTGATTAGGTATTGGGCGGTATATACTCGGGTAACGTCTCGGGCATCACAGCTCAGCATCTAGAATGGGTGAGTTCTTTGTAAAAAACCGTATATGGATCGTATCAAGAATGTATACTGAGTTCTTGTTGAAAAAACCGTATATGGATCGTATCGAGAATGTATTTCATGGAAAGTTTTTTTTGATTTGCCGTTCTATATTTTGCACGCAGGTTCACCAGAAGACGTTACAAGTTCTTGAAGAGATCGCGTTCTAGTTCCGTACTTGTCTTAGGTACTTCTTACATTTGGATCTTAAATGTTTTGATAAAATGTTAAAAAAAGGACAGAATACCATTGAAGACGAACAGAACGTTAAATGAGACCCATCAACATCTAATCAATTTTATGAAACCATGCACACAATATAGACCGTTTTCACGTCTCTATCAATATATGTATATATTATATATTATATATGCTTATATAATATGTTCATTGAGACCGATTTAAAATATGTGTGATTTGATTTAGATTGCTTTAATAGAAAGAGATATAAATACTTGTTGTCTATCAATAATTAATTTAAGAAACAAGATTAGAATAAATTTCCACAAAATTCATATAAACTTGATTAAATTTTTTTTATCTTGTTTATTAATAAACGGAAATAAATTAATGATTAATATACTCGACCGCAAAATGAATTAGGCCTACGGTACACCCATAATTAATCCCTTATCTATGTTTGTCTATTAAAATACTATTTTTAGTTTTATTTTTGGTCGGTCCATTTTTTAAATTGTATTGTGAAGACACGCGGAGGTGTGGTATGTAGCCCCAAAGGCTATGAAGAGCGACTGAAACGGCAACAGTGGCACAGATTCGTAAATAATTCAAAACTCAAGGGTGGTTTACGGACGCGAAATCTGTTGTTTACCAGTTTTAATTTTCACCAGGTTGCAAACGGTTCCCTTTCTCCGCTTCCATAAATATACACACAATCTCGCCAGTCACCAATTGCTTTGCCTCGCGTCTTCCCCCCTCTGCAACTTCCTTCTTTATCAATTTTTCTCTCTCCTAGGGTTTGAGCTCTTCCCTGTTCCTAGCACTTCCTCTGTCTTTTTCTTTTGTTGTCTCTGCAATGGCGCAAGAGGAGGGTGCTAATGGTGCTCCGACGAAGGAGATGGTGAATTTCTCGGCGTTCAAGCTGCAGTTGACGGTGGAGGCTCCCAAAGCCGCCGACGCGGTTCAGTTCTACAAGTCTGCGTTTGGTGCTGTGGAGATCGGCCGTTCTCTGCACCCTAAGCGCAAGGCAGACCAAGAGCTCCCTCACATCCTCTCGGCTGAGCTTCAACTCGCTGGCTTTACGTTCCTCGTTTCCGACGCCTCCGGTGACTCTGCTACTTTGTAAGTACATACCCTCTCTCTCTCTCTCTCTTTCTCCTCTGTCGTCTTGTTTTCCGTTCGTGTTCATGGTAGTTGAAGACTTGATTCCCTTGTTTCTCTTCTTTTTGCGTTTGTACATTTTCGGTTTCTCGTATAGATAGATCTGTGTTTCGCTCCTTGCGGTGAGTTTTTCTAGAAGTTTGAAATACATGCGACGGATACTGCTCGGCGATGATGATTTTGGTTTGTCTACGCGACGATTTTTCAACAACCTGCTGATTTAGTTAATTCGGTGAGTATGTTTGGTGTTGAGTGTGGACATCTTTTTACGTTGACCAGCGGGAAGACCGAGGGACACTCCATGGCGCTGTGCCTCGAGACCGAAGACGTGGAAGGCGCCGTCGCCAAAGCTGTTGCCGCCGGAGCTGTGAAGGACGGAGAAGTGGTTGAGGGAGAAGCCGGGGCGTGCTGCGGCGAAGGCGTCCAGGGAAAGGTCAAGGATCCGTACGGCTTTGCCTGGATCGTCTGCTCTCCGGCGAAGAAGGCCGAAACCGTGGAGGCCTAATCACCGTCCGATCCGATCTAACCGAAACCTATGACGATGATCTTGTTGCTTTTTTCAATGTAATCTATGTGGGACACAGCTCTAGTAAATGCCTCTAGTAACTCGGTGTTTTAGGCTAATTTCAGTATTTTGACAAAAATTACTCCATGGTGACACCTTTCGGATAGCGGGTGGAGATTTTACTCTAAATTTCTATGGTTTATTGCTGCTGGTTGTGTGATTTTACCGTTTTGCCCTTGATTTGCCCCTCAATTTTCAGATTCATGCGAGAAAACAGATGGCAGTATAGTCCTCCCACGATTTATTTAGTTTTTATTTTTGGTTGAAATGTTATGGGTGTTGTTGATAAGGCTTTTAAGGATGGTTCCAGTGGTATTTAACGCTTGCTTTGTTAAAAGGAAGTTTCGGTGATGTCGATGGGTTGGGCCAATCAGGAGTCGACACGCGAAAAGTGGTACGGAAGCCTAGCCAGGGTATCCGGTTTCGTCGTATCGGTAGGATATCCGCCCGGTTAATGTTATATGCTTGTTGTGGTCCCGAAGCCTTTTCGCTCGTATCGGGTTTCGTTGGGTCCTGCGCCTTTTTGACACGACCACATTGGGTTTACACAACCTTGTTCATCAGTAAACTTGCAGAATAGACTTGTATATCGGTACCATAAATCTCGTTTCACGAGCGATACTCGATAGTTCTTCAGCACAAGAGACAAGTGAATCCTACTTAAGCGGCAACGTGGTGGAAATGACCAAGATAATGCTACACACATTGAATAAATCTTCCATTTCCTTCGCGAACGAGGACAGATCGGGCGAGACATTAACCATATCTCCTCAGGACATATTCGCCTCGTTCATCACACCCGAGGCATTCGTGTTCAATGAATCCCCGTCTCCTCTCGCCAAAGACTTGGGGCACGTCTCAACCAGAAACAGCAAGTCCATAGTTCACTGAGCATGACTTGTAGTTGTAGACCAACTTCGAACGACGATCGGTTGCTTTCTCAATATTTGAACCGATTTGCTTCAGTGTTCTAGTTGCGCTTTGGCGTGCGGAACCGATGATGGGTTTGGCCAGGCGGGAAGATATGCTTTCGCTGTCTCGGTTTTTGGTTGTAAGAATTTTATGCAAAACCCGGGATTTATGTCTCGGTTTGATTTCGTTTTCCGAAACTTTGATGGTAAATCTTGCAGAGGAGACAACAAGAAAAAGTACAAGAGGAGCCAGCAGAAAATTGGTTTTTGAGGTTAGAAGCCATTCTTGAATCTTTAATTATTCTTGTATCTTTAATTATATGAAACTGAGTTGAAAAACGTATGCAAAGAGTGCACAAAATAATTATTCTATGTTTTATTATTCTTGAAATTGAAAATTTTGATTTTTTTTTCCTTATAAGGCTGATTTTTTTTACAGAATAAATCTTTTCATTTATTTAATAAAACACAACAGTCGTTTTTCCATCACGATTATAGTCATTTGTAATCATATATCGACATTAATAATTACTTTTTATTTATTTATAAAAAGGCCATAGATTTTGGTCCATCGAACCGGCTTATCCTATACATAGATCTAGACAGGCCCTTATAACGACCAATGCAACGGCAGACACATCCTCGAGATATTCGATTTCCTTCCGGACCGAGGACGGATCGGGCGAGACACTGGTCAAATCTCTTTTACACGTGTCTGATTCCATCTTCGCATCCGAGACTTTGACGCTCAATGCGTCTTTGTCGCCTGCCGGCAAAGCCTTGAGGGCATCGTCTAAAATCGTTTTAGCATCTTCGAAATTCTTCGAGCACGATGTATAGACCTTCTTCGAACGAGGATCGGACGCTTTCTGGGCGAGAGACTCGATCTGATTCCGTGTTCCCGAAGCAATATGGCGGGCGGAACTGATGGCGAGTTTGACGAGGCCGGGAAGATCCGCTTTTGCGGTGAAGAACTCGTAGCGAAACCTCGCATTATCCGACTCGAAGCAGATTGCTTTGATTTCGGGATCCGTAAGTTTCGTGTGGAATCTTGCGGACGAGGAGGAAGCAGCAAGAAGCAGAGACACTGCGAGAGGAACCAGAAGGAAACTGGTTTTGAGGTCAGAAGCCATGTGTTGTGTCTTAAATGTTTTGAACACTTGGGGGTTTGAAAGAGTTGGGAAATATGTATGTGTGTATATATAGGCTGGCACTATGCGTATTCAGTGTTATCCATTCCTTTAATATTCTTCTTACTCTTGTAACCGAAAATTCTGCATATTTTTCTTGGCAGACAGATTGACTTCATTCCTTTAGTGCTGTACGTAACGGGAGAATATATATATGATTCATTTCAAAAAATCATATATAATATCAGTTCTTTAAAAATTACCGAGTACATGACAATTTCATATAAAATTATAAATACGCGATTTATCTAAAAAAAAATTATCAAATTGCACCTCGACCGTTAACAACGTTAATTGAGATAACTGAGGTACAAAGAAATGCGTAATTTAATTGTGGTACAAAGACTGCCTCCGAATCTTGGAAGATATAGTTGGGTCCGATGAACTTCCAAGTTAATAAATTTTTTTTGATAATTTGAAAGTTCACCGGATCATCTATCCAGCTACATTTTTTCATTAGATCCGAAGGAACTGCTGTTGAAGTTGATTCTTTTCCTTTGAACAGATGATTTTGATTTCAGATTTTGAAGCGATAAATCTCGCATATGAGAATAATTGATTGATGATATAAATAGATACGTATGACTTCACATTCACATTTCTTCGGCAGATCGAAAGCTAAGGAATCATTTATAAATTTTTTTATGATAAACATTGTTTCACCGAAAGAGACACGGCAGATATTATTATTCCTTCAATACAACAAATCTTGCACGCTAAGAGGAGAAAAAACCCTACTTGGCCAACATGTTGGAAATGACCAAAGCAATGCTCGACACATTCTCAAGTTCTTCGATTCCCTTCAAGATCGACGATGGATCGGGTGAGACGTTAACCAAACCATCTTTGCACGAATCCACGTCCGCCATCGCAGCCGAGACTTTGATGTTCACGGTACCAGGGTTACTTCTAGTCAAAGCTTTCAGGGCGTCGTTTAAATTCGCTTTAGCACTGCCATAATTCTCTATGCATAAGCTGTAGTTCTCTTTTGAGTTAGGATCAGGCACTCTATCCAGGAGTGATATGATCTCTATGAGAGTACCTGAAGTTGTCTGACGTGCAGAATCGACGGTGAGTTTGACCAGGCCAGGAAGATCTGCTTGTGCGGTTCCGGGTTTTGATTTGAAGAACCTTTGGCAAAACCCGGGATTTTTCGCCTTTGAGCATATGGTTTGGATTTCGGATTTCGAAGTTTTGTTGGTAAATCTTGCGGACGCAGAGGCAAGAAGAAGCAAAAAAACTGCAAGAGGAACCATCAAAAATTTGATTTTGAGATTAGAAGCCATTTTCTTATGTCTTAACGATATAAAAAAAAAAATCAATGTTCAAAAGAGTAGAGAAATATGTGCAAATATATGTAGGCTAAACAATTTCACTGGTTCAATATGATCCATGCATGTATATAATTCTTTCTTATTATTCTAATTGAAAAATCATAATATTTTTCTTTAACCTATAGATTTCATTCCTTTACGGTGTCGCGACGGCAGAACCATAAAAAGAAAAATATCATTAGGTTACAAAATTTATCATGAATAATACTATCAAATCTGATTTTTCTCTTTTCATTTTTTGTTAATGACGTGGTAACTATAGACATATTTGACGTAAATATTGCTTTACTATTATTAACCCTAACAACCTTGTATAAATACTTCCATTATTGTTAATAACATTATTATTGAGAGTGCAATTTTATAATAACTTCTAGTAATTGACATGTTTACCTCATCAGTCTCGGTGGCCGAAGGAGAATATAATTCAATACTTTCGTCAAATATATATTTTTTTACATGACCTTTTCTCTTTCTAAATAGTGATACGGAATATCTTACAAATATAGTGCTAGATGCATATATACATTTATAATATTTTAGAGATATGATCATTTATATAAAGAGTAACTTTTATATTTAGTATATCGTTAATTTATTTATTAGTTTCAAACTCTAGTAGTAGAATTGCGTTCCTTTGATGAATGGATTAATCAATAAAGGCTTTATTTTAGGCTTTCTACCTAAGAAAAAAAGAACGTAGACATGTGTTAGCGACAGCGACCGACGGAAATTTGTCCGTCGAATTCCGTCGTAAATTATTAATTACGACGTTTCTTTTATAATTATAACGAATTTTTCCTGTCATAATCTCGAATGTTTCTTGTACTGTTTGCCTTTGAGCAGATGGTACCGATTTCGGGTTTCGAAACTTTCGTGATAAATCTTGCGGATGAAGAGATAACAAGTAGCAGAAAAATTATAAGAGGAGTCGACAGAAAATTGATTTTGAGGTTAGAAGCCATTTTTATCTTTTTTCTTCTTTTTGGATATTTTTGTTCAAATAGGATCAAATACTATTGAATATTTATAGTTATTGGTAAGTGTAAGATAGTCATTCGGTTCAGTTATTTCGAGTATTAATCGAACCAAATAAGTGTATTTTTATTCGGTTTGTTTATTTTTGAAATAACCGGTTGGTTATAAATGTTCAAAATCTGAAATATCTTATCTGAACTGAATCAATTAAAATTAAATAATCATTAATTTCTATCTTCTTTTTCACATCTTTTTTTTTTGTGTTTAGAAGAGACTTACGTTTTGATATGATGGATATTATTTTATTAAAATATATTCAATCGCAATTATGCGTCGAATACGACGAAAGCTTGGATGCAAACAAACATGAGAAAAACTCCTATTTGGGCAACATGTTGGAAACGACCAAAGCGATGCTCGACACATTCTCCAACTCTTCGATTCCCTTCACAAGCGAGGATGGATCGGGTGAGACACCGACCAAATCTCCCTTACATGTATCTGCTTCTGTCATTGCGGCCGAGACTTTGGCGTTCACGGTACCTGGATCGCCTCCGGCCAAAGCTTTGAAGGCATCGTCTAAATTCGTTGTAGCACTGTCATAATTCTCCAAGCATGAGGTGTAGACCTCCTTTGACTTAGGATCAGACGCTTGTTGGAGAAGTGATTCGATCTCCGCATGAGTCCCCGAAGCACTCTTACGTGCGGAATCGACAGTCAGTTTGGCTATGGCCGAAAGATCTGCTTGTGCGGTTTCGGGTTTTGATTTGAAGAACGTTTGGCAAAACTCGGAATTCTTTGCCTTTGAGCAGATGGTTTGGATTTCGGATTCCGAAATTTTGATGGTAAATCTTGCGGATGTAGAGGCAACAAGAAGCAGAAAAACTGCAACACAAGTCATCGAAAAATTCATTTTGAGGTTAGAAGCCATATTCTTATATCTTACTTATATGAAAACTCGAGTTTTGAAAGAGTAGAGAAATATGTATGAGGATTGCACTATTTATACACTTTTGCTATACATAATAGTATCCTAATTTCATGTTAACAATTGGTTTTAAAAAATAAAATATTTATAAAATTCGATTTGTTTAGAAAAAATTGAAAACTTCAAATATTTATTTGGATTTTTCTAAACAATTTCCACAACAGGATGCTTCAATATGCAATATTTTTTTGGCCTGTAGATTTCATTCTTTTACCGTGCTCCGACATAAAAAGGAGAATATCATAGTTTACATAATTTACTATGAATAATACAACGAATCTATTTTTTTTTTTGTTAATGACAGTGATAACTTCTAGTAATTGTCGTGGTTACCTCATCAGAATAACGAGATATCATGTCAGTCTCCGTGGCTAAATTTTTTCATTCCGTTAACGACATTAGTGATTGTGTTTTTTTTTTTTAAATGGTATATTTGTTTTGTATTTTGAAAATTATTTTTATATTTATTTGGTATTTTTAAAATTGTTTAGAAAAAATTGAAAAACTTCAAATATTTATTTAGATTTTCCTGTGTGGGCTATAAACAATTTCCACAACAGGATGCTTCAATATGCTCCATGTATTTCATACTTTTCTATTATTGTAATTGAAAAATTAGAATATTTTTTTTGGCCTGTAGATTTCATTCCTTTACATTGTTGCGACATAAAAAGAAGAATATATAAACTAATACAACGAATCTATTTTTTTTTTTGTTAATGACAGTGATAATTTCTAGTAATTGTCATGGTTACCTCATCAGAATATCGAGATATCATTAGGAAGAACAATCGTGTCTGGTGGCTCTGATAAGCAAATAACACACTCTTTTTCTGTTCGATTTTGGGTATAAATTATCCAATTTAGGGTTTCTTTCATTTAATCGGTTCATTGCACCGGTCTATTCCATACCAAATCATTTAACCAATTTTGTATACGTGTCAATTTATTCTGATGTGTAATCCGACGTAGCGAAGCTAAAAAATCTCCCATATGCCATGTTTGCACTTTTGAATGACACATCAACACATTTTGTCTAATTTGTTAATCGACAAAGAGTTCAGATATTTTTTTGTTTCATTAAAAAAGTTTGGTATTTATTTGACAAAAAAAAAGTTCAGTGTTTGTTTTGTCAAAATTGAAAAGTCCAGTGTTTTTTTTTTGATTATCCCTTCCATTAACGACATTAGTGATTGTGTTTTTTTTTAAATGGTATATTTGTTTTGTATTTTGAAAATTATTTTTATATTTATTGTGTATTTTGAAAATTTATTTATTTATTTGATATTTTTACTAGTTTATATATTTTCTGTGATTTTTTATCTTTTCAACAACTTTCATAATAGAATCAAATTTTAAAAACTTTATATTTGTTTTGAATCTAAATAATATATAATTTTAAATCGTATAAATAATCAATAAATTATCACAAAGACTATGCAGAAGGAGACTGTGTAATTCAATACTTTCGTCAAATATATCATTTTATTTACATTACCTTTTTTTTCTAAATAGTGATACGAAATATCTTAAGAAATATAGTGTATTATATATAAATATAATATCTTAGACCGTATAGTACCATACCTACATACAATCCTCAAATTTCTTTCATTCCGATGCGTTCGATTCATTCATGTATCTCTTTCGCATAGTGGTACTCGGAGAACTGCTCTTTGATAGTGCCATCTATAGTGACGAACACTCCCAACCCTCATTATAGTTCACGATATCACATTCATGGTAAATCTTGCGAGCGAGAAGATAATTAATGTCAGGAAAACTGCAAGAGGAGCCATCAAAAAAATGATTTTGAGGTTAGAAACCATTCTTATGTCTTAATTATTTGAAAACTCGAGTTTAGAAAAAAGATTGAGAAATGTGTCTGAGGCAGGCACAACCTTGCATAATCCATAAAATCCCGACACCTACAATGTTTTAATTGAATTGTATTAAACCGTTGTTTATATTTGCTGAAATTTTTATATACGTTTAATCAACATCATCACCACCATAATTATCACCCCGACTGAGACCGAGTAGAATTCGTAATCATTATCACTAATACCTACGTATCCTTGTGTTCGACCCTAGATACTGCGATTGACCCGTGCACTTGCGGTAGTTGAATCTAGGAAATAAAACAAGATTAGATCAACCCCCTAGATCGACATCAGTACATTAGAGGTAAGGGTTTTAGGCTTAGTAGGACGAAGAGGAGTACATGCATTGTGAATTTAGTGAAAAACGTTCTAGTAATGTGGGAGTTATCTTGCAAGGAGAATCAATACCTCAAAACCCGCATTTTAAATATCTTGGGTCAATCCTTCAAAAAGATGGAGGTTGCGACGAAGATGTTAGTCATAGAATAAAAGCGGGATGAATGAAATGGAGACAAGCCATGGGGGTTCTTTGTGATCATAAGGTTCCCCTACGATCGAAAGGAAACTTCTATCGTATCGCCATAAGAATTGCATTATTGTATGATAGCGAATGTTGGGCGGCGAAAGAGCAACATATGTCTAAAATGAGTGTGACCGAGATGAGGATGTTGAGATGGATATGCGGGCACACAAGGACTGATAGAATTAGAAATGAGATTATTAGAAAGAAAATAGGAGTAATAGGTATCGAAGAGAAGGTACGAGAGGGGCTTTAATATGGTTTGGACATGTACAACATAGGCCGATAGATACACCAGTTAGAAAAATAGAGAGTATATGTATAGGGGTGGGAAGGAAAAGAAGAGGTAGACCTAGACTTACTTGAGAGCATGTCATTAGAAACGATATGGAAGTGTTGCAGATTCTGAAAGGATTAACACGGGATCGAAATGAATGGAGAAGAAGGATTCATGCGGCCGACTCCGAATGAACTTGGGAATGAGGCGATGTTGTTGTTGTTGTTATGGATAAATCCAAATGTGTTTAAAATAAAGAAAATCGGCAGTTCGTTTCTTTTATTTTTTTCTCCATAACATTAGTAAATATAAATCATAGAGTAAATTTCTCATAAAAATACATTTGAGTCATAAAAACTCAAAAAAAGTAGATGATATTTTTAAATTTTGCAGGTTGATTTTTTGTTAATGAAACTTTAATTTAAGTTTACTCATATAGGTACATGTACAAAACTATGTGATTTTCTCAGTTTTTGTGATTCGTTTTAATATTTCTGTAATGAAATAGGAAGCTTAATTGAACATTTATGAAACATAAGTAATGTTTGTATTTTTTTCCATATTTTTCTTCTTTTTTTCCTTTTTGGTTATTTTTGTTCAACTAGGATTAAATAATATTGGGTACTTTTAGATATTGGTAAGCGTAAAGAATAAGTGTATTTTTGTTTGATTTGTTAACCGATTGGTTATAAATTTTCAAAAGATGAAATATCTAAACTGAATCATTAAGATTAATTTAATACTTGTATTCTTTTTATACCTTTTTTTGTTTGGATAAGATTTATGTTTTGATGATATGATAATTTTTTTTTTTATAATCGTGAATTTCACCACACTTTTGACCCAACTACATCTAAACATAACATATGTATTCATATATGTGTCAAGCATGCACACATACAAAAGGAAGAAGTTGCAAAACCTAATAAAATTTGGAGAATAACTAGAACAAATCTCATCAATACAAGAGTAACAAGATACGCTAAATATACGGAGGATATTCTATGCTAACACCTCCTTCAAGTTGATGAGGGCAAGTGATGTTTGTCGAGAAACCATGCAAACTCTTTCTTGCCCAAAGCCTTTGTAAAAATGTTGGCCAGTTGTTCTCGAGTAGACGTGACGAGTGGCGATGTTGCGTGATCCAAATGGTGTCGTAAGTAGTGACAATCGATTTCGATATGTTTTGTAAGTTTGTGATAAATAACATTGGATGCAATACGCAAAGCGGCTTGGTTGTCACAAAACAATTGCATAAGAGTCAAGTGATCAACACCGAGACACGAGAGAAGCCTCTTGATCCACAAGTTCACAAGTCATGACCTTCATACCTCGATACTCGGATTCGGCGAAGGAGAGTGAAGATATTGTCTACTTTTTGGTCTTCCACGAGATAAGAGAAAGATATAATTGAATGAACCAAATGCTCAACGATTTTCGCGTGTGAGGACAAGCCGCATAATCGGCATCACAACAATCACGCAACCGCAAATCGAACTCAGCTCGAAAAACAATACCCTTGGCTCGATTCGTGTTTCAAGAAATGAATCACGTGTAACACTGCGTTCCAATGATCTTGACGCAGTTGTTGCATGAATTGAGATAAGATATGAACACTGTATGAAATCTTAGGGTACGTGATGGTAAGATAAATAAGACGGTTGACCAGTTGTCGGTAATGTCCAGGATCAACAAACAAAGGACTGTGAGATAATGAAAGGCGATGGTTCTGCTCCAAGGGAAATAATGTAAGTTTTGCAACCGAGTAAGCCAACCTCAGAAAAAATATCGAGAACAGGCATCATAACAACTTATACAGAAAAAAGCGAGACTTTAGAAACGTCGGTCGACAAGACAATGAATCTTTTGAGGCTTCGTCTTGAGTGAGCACAAGGTCAGCCTCTTCAACAGAGGGAAGAGGAAGACGAGATAGCATATTCGAGCGAAAAATACCAAATTTGACATCATCGAGACCGATGAGGAGGAATTCGTACAATCTATCCTCTTTGACATTGTTTCTCCAATTTAGCTGCAAGATTGCGAGAGCAATGTCCACACTTACACACCTTGATTGTGTGAAGAACCACCACATCGTCCCATAGTTTGGTGAGCTTACCCAAGTATGATTCGACTAACAACCCTTGTTATCGACAATTTGCGAGAACACTGCGAAAACGCAAGAGCTGAGGAGCATTCATTATCCCAAAACACCGTTTGAGATAGTCCCATAAGTTCATAGAGAATTCTCGATGAAATACATCCGAATATAGGCTTGGTTCGAGTGTGTTCTTAATCTAAGACACAATTAATGAGAGAATTGTACGTTTCCCAATCTTCGTAATCGAGGGAGTCGAAATCAGTCTGCGGTATTTTGTCATCGATAAAGCCAAATTTCTTCCTTGATTTCAAAGCATGTCAAATATTGATTGTTCATTCCTCGTAATTATGTATCGTAGCAGAGGCTGCAAAAGAATGAGGCAGAGATTGTGTCTCGAACTCAAATCGAACGAGGCGATAATCTTTCTAGGTGTTGCAGGTAATAATGTCTTAGTCACCAAAGACATCACCAGATTGGTGGATTCGAGGGGTGTCGAGGCGAAAGTATCGTCGTGTTCAGTGGGCCTGAGAAATTTAGTAGGTTTCGGGTTCTAAATACCATAACAAATCGAGAGTTCGGGAAAACGTGTGTATTCACATGTGTTGATCGTGTATACATACAAAACGAAGAAGCTGCAAAACCTAGTAAAATATGGAGAATATCTAGAACAAATCTCATTAACACAAGAGCAACAAGATACGCTAAATATACAGATGATATTCTCCGCTAATAAGGTGAATGTCTTTTTCTATGCTTGGATTTGAATCCGAGAATAACAGCATGTCTTGCATGTTCTCTTACCTTTAGATCACCCAAACTTAATATGATAAATATTATGTTATAAAGGATATTCAATATCAATTATGTCTTGGGCAACATGTAAACAAACAGGAGAGAAAAAATCCTACTTGGACAACGCATAACAAATGACCAAAGCAATGCTGGACGTGTTCTCAAGGTTTTCGATTCCCTTTACGACTGAGGATGGATCGGGTGAGACTCCGTCCAAATTTTCTTTGCATGTATCTGCTTTTGCCACTGCGACCAAGACATTGATGCCCATGGTACGTACCTAGGTCGCCTCCGGCCAAAGATTTGAGGGCTTCGTCTAGATTTGACGTAGCGCTGTCATAATTCTCTGAGCATGAGGTGTAGACCTCTTTTGACTTAGAATCAAACGCTTTCTGTAGAAGTGACCGGATCTCTGTGAGAGTCTCCGAAGCCCTCTGACGTGAGGATTCGACGGCGAGTTTGGCCGAGGTAGGAAGATCTGCTTGTGCTGTTTAGGATTTTGCTTTGAAGAATGCCTGGCAAACCCGGGATTCTTCGCCTTTAAGCAGATGGTTCGTACTTCGGGTTCCAAACTTTGGATTATAAATCTTGCGGATGCAGAAGAACAAGAAGGAGAAAAACTGCAACATGAGCCAACATAAATTGGTTTTGGGGATGGAAGCCATTCTTATATATCCTTTTTTATATTGAATTGCTCGAGTTTTGAAAGAGATGAGAAATATGTATGAAGAAATGCATTTTTTTTTATAGATTTCTTATATACATACTGCCATTCAATGCATGGGTTCAAAATCTTATTATTCTTGTAATCGAAAAAATCTGAATGGTCTTCTAATTAACTTGTTGATTTGGTTCCTTTTCAGTTGCAATAGGAAAATCATAAAAAGCAAAATATATCCAAAATAGATTATAGAATCTATGATTCATTAGGAAGCCTTTATTACAAATGAAAATACATAGAGCCATGATTTCTTTTTTTTTTTCTCTCCATAAATTATTAAATATATATATTCGAAAAAGGGAAAAATCCGCGTAAAATATATTATCAAGTTGTAAAAGATTTCCTCTCTATATATATATATATGAATTCCTATGAGATTTTCTTTATAAAAGGAGGAGTAACCATAACTGAATAATGGTCGAATATTGAGTTTATATAGTGTAATCTCGTATTTAATATTTTTTAATTTATTAATGAAATTAAAATTAAGTTTAAATAACAGATAGTACGAAATAAATGTGTTCACTCCATTTTCAAAATACCATGACGATATCATAAAAGTAACATAGAGGATCTATGTATAGACTCCAATAGCGAGATCAGGGCTCACCAATTTAGTTCAGAACCGGATAAATGAAACCATCCGAAACGAATATTATATAACCGTAATCAAACCAAATCCGATATTATAACAGAATTGGTTATGATTTTTTTTTCTACAATTAAAAAAATCGAACTCGAATAAAATAAAAAATAACCAAAAACTCAAAAAATTCTTTAAAAATTTAAAATACTTATCAATAAAAACAGACCGAATCAAAACCGATTCGATATAGAATCGAACCAAATTCAAGATAAAAACCGAATGATTATAGTTTTTAAAAATGATGTAATTGAATCTCTCATGCCAGGTCCGAAATCCGAAATGGCAACCCGTAAGTTGTACTACTGCTACTATCCATTCAGAGTCTCGATAGACATTTTCAACTGACGAATCTCTGTGGTCGAATTGTTGGGATCATGCGAGCTCATCTAATTTCTCCGAAAAAAATCCCAAATTGATGTTATTTTAGATTTTTAATTAATTTTTTAAAATAATTTCTAATTTCATACTTGATTAAAACTGACCAATTCCAATAAGCTTAATGAATATTAATTATATTTCATCTATTAAACAAGGGTATATATGTCTTTTTTATAATTTTTTTAAAATTGGAAAAAAAATGAAATTATTATGAAATGGAGGGAGTAACATATAAACACGATTTTATCAACAATGCCACTAATGGTAATACGAGAATAAATGAGCATTATATGACTTCACGTTCATGTTTCTTCCACGGCCATAGGCACATTGAGAGCTATACAAATTTATGATGCAATCAATGTGTTGATCATTTCACCATCAGTTGTATATTCTCTTTCACTTTTTTGATTCAAAAGAGAATTATGTTTTGATATGATAAATTATGGTTTTATTAAAGATATTCAATAGGTGAATTCTATTTGGGCAACATGTTGGAAATGACCAAAGCAATGCTCGACACATTCTCAAGGTTTTCGATTCCCTTCACGACCGAGGATGGATCGGGTGAGACACCGACCAAATCTCTTTTGCATGTATCTGCGTCTGTCATTGCGGCCGAGACTTTGATGTTCACGGTACCTGGGTCGCCTCCGACCAAAGCTTTGAGGGCATCACCTAAATTCGTTGTAGCACTGTCATAATTCTCGGAGCATGAGGTGTAGACCTCCTTTGACTTAGGATCAGAAGCTTGTTGGAGAAGTGATTCGATCTCCGCAAGAGTCATCGAAGCACTCTTACGTGCGGAATCGACAGTGAGTTTGGCCAAGGCCGGAAGGTCTGCTTGTACGGTTTCGGGTTTTGATTTCAAGAATGTTTGGCAGAACTCGGGATTCTTTGCCTTTGAGCAGATTGTTTGGATTTCGGATTCCGAAATTTTGATGGAAAATCTTGCGGATGCAGAGGCAATAAGAAGCAGAAAAACTGCAACAGAAACCATCAAAAAATTGATTTTGAAGTTAGAAGCCATATTCTTATCTTATATTTTACTTGTATGAAAATTCGAGTTTTGAAAGAGATGAGAAATATGTATGAAGAGCACACTATTTATAGATAATATTGTCATTCCTATTGATATGAGTGCTAAAACAATCTCTACAATACAATAGGGTGATAGTGGATGATCAATGCATTATTATTATTTTTACCCTTTGTGATTGAAAAATCTGAATGTTTTTGTAGCATGTTGATTTCATTCTTTAAATGCTACAATAGAAAAATCATAAAAAGCATATAATATCCCATAGATTATTGAATCTATGGTTCATTAGGGAATGTCTTTATTGTTGTGCATAAAATCTGTAAAAGATTTCCAAATAAATATATGAATTCTTAGGAGATTTCTTTACGAAAAAGAGAAGAAGCTATATTAACTAAATAATGGTCGAATATTCAGTATAGTAAAGAAGATTATTATGAATTTAGAAGACAATAGGTGGTAAATATATGGATATTTTATCTAAAGAAATAAATAAATTTAAAAAATTCCATAAAAAACCTAAAATTCTAAAAGACTGCAAAATATTTTTTTCAATATAAACTAACTTTTTTATGTTTCAATATAAATATACGAACTTCTAAATTGTTATTAAATTTCCAAATTTCTCTCGAAGTAAACTATATATTGATTTCCAACAAAAATTTCAAAATATTTCAATAGAGTGGAATTCAATAATTTTTTGAAAATTCTTGAAGAAATGAATATATTTATCTAGGAATTTTAACAATTTTATAGAAATTTTTCAAAATCAAAATATGTATCATATATTGTTGGTATTTTAGAGTAAACGGTTGAATATTGGTTATAATCTCACATGGGATTGATGATACACGTGTATTACGAGTATGGTGGAGGAGTAAAATGCTTGTAAAAGACGTATCGTGAACTGGTTTAAAGTGTTATGATTCGTGAAAAAGGTTACGTTCGGTTTAGAACGTGAAAAGTTATCTTAGAAAAAATAGAAGGGCGGCTCAAAAATGTGGACGGACAGCCTATTTTTTCTGAGGGATGAAGCTCGAATAAACGGGCGGTAGCCCTAATAAACGGGCGGATAGCTCGTTTTTTCTGAGCGGCTGTTTGAGCGAAAAGTCGCGACCGATCGGCAAAAACTTTCTAGTTTTCATATCTTTTCGATGTGTTGGTGTTTATAAATACATTAGAAGTCATATAACACGAAATAGAAGAGAAAAACATGGATTTATGATAAGATCTAAGCGATTTTATGAGAGATTTGAGTGTGTTCTTGTGGTTAGTTTCTGCAGAAAACTATCACAAGGGTTTCTTTGTTTTCGGATAAACAAGGTTCTATTGATGATTATCGGAAGGATAAACCGAAATCAGTGTCGCTTCATTGTATCTCAAAAGTGTATTCCTATAATCTCATTTACCCGTTAAGGATGGAATAACGCTTTTAACAAAGTGTTCGTCACGCCTTGAAGTCATATCTGGTTTCTTACTGTTTCATACGTGAAGACGGGATTATTAGATCAGATCGAAGTCGTCATCTTACCGGGTACGTATATGAGTGTTTTCATATTATTGATTTTTTCTTCTACAATCTAAAAGCGTTAAATATGTACATTGATATCGACAAGTATGATGTTGTTTCCATTTTATTCTTTATTTTTATCCAACATATGTGTATATATATAGCCTTGCATCAAATCACACATGCGAAATCCAAACCAGACATGAAGAAATAAAAAAGGAAACTGTTTCCCAACAATTGTACAGAGATAGATCTTGTAAGAAACTTATTCTTGTCCTCTCCAAAGTCCAAACCCAAGCAACATGAGACTATGGTTTCTTCACCCCCAAAAAAAAAACTAAGGATAGAGCTGAACCGAATGGGTAGAACCCGCACTGGCGGCGGCTTTAGCCGAATCGAGAGGGAAGTAAAAAGGGTAAAACTCGTATCGAACGTAGCAGCTGCTGTACAAAACCCTACACCCCTTCTTGCCGTGGCAGGCGTACATGAAGTTCCTCACAGCGATCGCGAAGCACTGAGCGCAGTCCAGTTCCGACAGATCTCTCGTACACTGAACCAGTCCGTACAGCGTCACGAATGGCGTCAGATCGGTTTTGTCTTTGCCTAAACCTTTGCTCCCGGCCGAGACAGCCTCGGCCCGGACTCGGTCGAACAAAGTTGCAAGCACTTTGTCGAACGTTTCGGGGTCGGTTTCAGTCACGTTAGCGACGTTGTAGTATATAAGACCGGCACCCGCGTCGAGTTTTCCGACGAAATTCTCTTTGCTGTACCTCAAGAAACAGAAATCGTAGAGAATCCTCGAATCTGATTGGTTCGGACAGCTTTCTCGGATCTTCCTGGCGGCGTCTTGTACGCAACTCGAGCAGTCTGTCCTGCTGATATCTCCGCGGCATTGCGCGAGACCGTAGACTTTGTCTTGGTTCTGACCGGAGGAAGAGACGGTGAAGAAACCCTTTGAAGGAGTTTCAGAGACCAATGTAACGAGAAGTGAATCGATGTTCATGGAAACTCGACTGTTTCTTGTAAAGTTCGAATCTTTGTTGCAGAGTTCCCATATGGAGTCTGCTGCTTCGCAGTTGCAGACAAGGAACAAGACAAGAAGAATGTACAACAACAATGTCTTCATGTTCTTTTCTTTTTGTGTGTGTGGAATTTCTGCTTTGCCCATTAGATAAGAGTCCAATTATATAACCGATTGGTTGAAGAAAACCTCTTTTTTTATATAAAAAAAAATACAAAGAAAAGTAGGGAAATACAAAAACATGTGATTTTCTGATCAAGTTGGTCAAAAGGCACATTGGTGGAAATTGGTCAAAGACTTGTCTTTAAAATTTTGGATAAAAATTGAAATTTTGATAAAAATGAACTAAAAAAAAACAAAGTGAAATCTAAATCTCTATATGTATAAAACAGTCTACAGTGTATTATTCAGAAATAATAATATCTAAGATACAATAATATATATTGGTTTGAGTTATAAGCAAAATATTTCAAGAGTATTCAAACCTTTTTATTCAACGTTCAAATCAAATCAGTATACTTGAAACTGATTTTTTTTTTTTTTTATAAAAAAAATTGTGAATAACAGATTTGTGGAAGTGGAAGATTCCATGGAGCAGAAATCTTTGACCATAGAGAAGAAAGTGGAACTAGCGAGACATCATCGGCTTTCATTATTCAGTCTTCTCGAAGGTCAACGCTTACAATGTAATGTCCACTTCCCTCTTTCTTCCTACCAAAGTCTTCTTCCATGTTAATAATTGCATCCCTTATCATTTGGTGTACAATTATTTGTATAGATCGATAATCAATTAAGTTACTATTAGGTTATCACTTTGTTATTAGCCGATTAATTAAACCGAATCAAATCGAATAAGATATAATTATAATTAAACTGAATCCAATATTAAAATCAAATGGTTATAATTTCTATAAATCCGAAAAAACTGAAACCGATGATAACCGATTAAAAAAATAATCGAAAAAATCTATATTTTTTTTTTTTGAAAAATAAGCCTTTTACAACAAAAAAACTAAAAATTAACCTAACCAAATTTTATATAAAAACCAAATGTTTCTAATTTTTCTTTAACCGAAATAATCGAATTCGAATATAACTGAACCGAATCCAAACCGAAACTTTAATTGGCCGCCTAGTTAGTACAAATAAAAATCTTGTATTAAAAAAACAAGTCCTGAAAGGTGATTGCTTTTATAAAAAAAAAATTATGTTGATTGTAACGTGGAATTTAAATCCTGAATATAATTTTTGTATAAGTACGAATTAAACGAAAAGAATAAATATAAAATCGTAAATATATAATTCCGGTGTTGGGTCTAGAAGTTGGAACAAATCGTTTTAGGTATTTTTTTTTTGAAGTTTCAAACACCGACAAACCTTCTAGGTCTAAATACGGACAAATCAATTTTATGAGAAAAACAAAACTTTGAGAATATGTCAGAATAGGAATAGTACATTTGATCTAGGGACCATATATGATCATAATTCATAACCATAAATTTATAAAATTTTAATTATTCTAATTATAATATTGTCCATTAAAAAAATCACAATAATCACTATATTTAATATATAAATTTTGAACCCTGAAGATGTGGTGTAGAAACAAATTATATGAGCATGATGATTTTGATTCTACTGATAGTATAATTTAAGAATTCTATCGAAAACCTTATAACGAGAATTCAATAAAATACCCAATCGGAGATGACATAATTTAATTACAATAAAATTATCTTTCGATTTATGATAAATATAGTTAGGTCGAAGATTCTGAATAACAAAAAAAAAATAATTCAGTGACAAAAATGGATTCCAAATGCAAAGGTGGTACCACTGTTGATGCAGTGGAAGAACAATGACCACGTAACTCTCTCTCTCTCTCTCTCTCTCTCTCTCTCTCTCTCTCTCTCTCTCTCTCTCTCTCTCTCTCTCTCTCTCTCTCTACCAAGACTGCTTTGTGAATTAAAAAAAAAAATTAACGATTTGGGATAACTACGACACAAAATAGTTAATGTTAGTGGAATGGATTACTTTTTTTTGAAAATTCTAAACAAATACAGAATTTATTAAAACTAAAGAAAAAATATATAAATTTATAATAGCCTAGAAAACGTAAATTTGTAATATTATTTTAAATTTCTACGGTTTGCAAGTTTTTTATATAATTATTAGATAAAAATATATCAAATCATTAATTAAAAATTAAAAAAACGAAAAATCATATATATATATATATATATATATATATATATATATATATATAAT